ATATTAGACACGTGCGATTTCTATTGTCTTTCTTTTCAAAAAGCCTTTGATGAGGGAGCGAGTAGTAGGTGGATTTGGGAAAGGAGGCGGGCGGGGGTGAGGGCATCGAAGACTATCTCTGCGACAGTAACCATATTAGACACGTGTGATTTCAATTTTCTTTCTTTTCCATTAAGCCAAACTATGCCACAGCAACGCGTGGCCGGGTACAGCTAGTTGGTCAATAAAATATAGGTCTAAGCCCTTGTGCCCAATACGCGCGAAAGCGTGGAAAAGGTCCTTTACGGCCCTTACGCCAACCCTTGGTAGATTTGTTCATGACTGATTGAATATTGCGGCTAATTTTCTAAAGAATTCGGTATGAAGCCTCTAACCAACCCTCCGTGGTAATCTTTTACGACATGGTTGGTTACAAAGTTACTATATGTTGTTTCCATTATGTGTCCGAAAGTTGATTTTTTAGACGGAACAGCAACGGCTTCGGAAAAAAGGAGGCAAGACCAACAACGACCGACTGGAGAATTTGTAATGCTCCACTGGGCCGTGGATAAACATTGGACATGGACTTCTGTTTTGAGTGTCTGCTTATGAATCAGATCTTCTGTGTCATTTCATCTTTGTCGCGTTCAGTGTTTGAAGACTCCAGCGAAAAGTGCTGGTCGTTAGCTCACCTCTGGAGATAAATCGTGTTCCAAAATCTAAGTGTTGGGTGCACCTACAGATCTGGCTTTTTTGGCTCCTTTCGTCTCAGGCAGATGCAGTCCGCCTTTCTTGGATTTATCTCATTTAATTAATGCTAATCTACTTCATTTCTTTGTCTTATAACCACTGATACCAGTGGTTTTCCAAAAATGTCCCTTAATTCTGCGCCTGTCTTGGATTTATCCAATTTAATTAATGCTAATCTACTTCCTCGGGCATCTTCTGTTTTCGAATGCTTTAGCTTTGATTCCAAGTTTTTAGTGGCTCTCCAGCTTTTAACGGCATGTGAAAAACGAAATAACGTTAGAACTGACAATAGGTAACTTGGCAATAAAACTAAATAATTTAAGAGTTCTACAGTTTGCTGTCTTGTAAAAGCTGCTGTTACCTTGCCAATTCGATATTACAATTTCTTCCGTTTGGTGTTTACTTGATAATCCAAATGCTAAATAAATAAGTAAACTGATCTATTATTTTGTTGTGCCTCCAGCGTTCAATGCGGATAATCTTGTTATTATTAGCGTACGTGTTGTCCTTGAAATACAAAGGAATTATTGATTCTTTTTTTTTTTTTTTTCGTTGGGCGCTTTCAAAGATGCAGGTTTTAATCTCCTTCTTTACTTCCTCTTTTACCACGGATGTTGAAGAAGATGTAAGTTCTGCCTCTTGAACTTCTGGCCGCCACAATCATAAATATGCTGTTGAAAAGTTCTTCAGCTTGTTCTTGGTCTACCCTGTGCTCTCCCTCCTTCTCTTTCTGTGTATCTCTTGTATGGTGTGGCGCCACAAGGCTTCTCTCTAAGCAGGTAAACCACACCTTCTGTCTTTGTAATTTATATATTTATATATTGGTTTTAAATAATCGGTATATCCTCCACAGAAAAACTAAAGTAAAGGACCATTGTGTGTGTGTCGTCTGTGTGTCTGTGTGTCTGCCAACTGTGTGTGGTGTGTGTGTGTGTGTGTGTGTGTGATGTGTGTGTGTGTGTGTGTGTGTGGTGTGTGGTGATGTGTGTGTGGTGTGTGTGTGTGTTGTGTGGTGGGTGTGTGTGTGTGTGTGGTGTGTGTGTGTGTGTGTGTGTGTGCTGGGTGTGTGTGTGTTCGTGTGTGTGTGTGTGTGGGTGTGTGTGAGTGCATGGTGGGTGTTGTGGTCGTGTGTGTTGAATAATCGGTATTCCTCCACAGAAAATCTTATAGGTCCAATGAGCATTCGTTCGGTGATTTGGTCAACATTTCACAGACATTCTTCCCTTTACAGGACAGTACCTGGCACCCATGTTAGGCTGGATCAACCCAGAAACCAAAGTCAATTTTGAAAACAGAATTCGTCATGATGCAGATTCCAACCTTGACTTTCTGGCAGACACGCACTACTCTAGCAAATACTCTACCACGGCGCCCTCAGAAAGACTAGCAAATTTAAAAGGCACCTAGTGAGCTTTGATACACTATAACACGACTGAATGGCTCTACGGTTTACTTCACCCTATGATGGCTGTGCATTCAATTATGTACTCCGCTCTTTAGCTCGGAAGTGTTGTTTTCTGAGATTTAGGGTCGTTTCTGATGCTGCAGAATTTTAAGATTTGTTCCACGCTCACTCGCGGACGAACAGTGTGTGTGTGTGTGTGTGTATGTGTGTGTGTGGAGACAAATCGAGCCTTACGGGATAAAATCGTGTGCAGTGACGTCATTCCCTCCCCTCTAATTACTTTCACAATGACTTTAAGAGCCATCTATATTAATAAACAGGGACAAATAGATATTTAGAGAAAGAGAGAGAGAGAGAGAGAGAGACAGAGGGAACAGAAGGAGAAAGCAAACACAAAATGTGCATACTTTTTGTCCCTTCAATACATCATCAATGCAGTAGGGAAGGGAAGAGGCACAGGAAATGTAAAGTTTACCAAATTGTTTTTCTGTTTGCACATCATCAATCATCAGATTAAGGTGCGGCTCACGCGAACAAACTCAGAGACCGCGCGTGTTTAATGTAATACAAATTACCTCTTATGCGCGATTTTTTTCCCTACACATATAGTTTCATTTTTCAATCTAAATGCTGTCTCCACAATGGAAGTTAGTTAGGAGTGTATCGCTGAAAGGATCTCGCAGACCAAACTTCAGTTTGCCTCTAACACTAGACTGTGCGGTCGGCTTTCCACGCCATTGTCGAAACCAACGCAATGCCGAATCACAAACACCTGGAATCAAACCATTTACCTTGGAATTGCGAAACACGTTCGCCAAAACCTAATTCACTGAGGACGACACGTTAAAAGTTAGCTGCAAAGTATTCCACTGTTAAAAAGGGAATATCGCGTGGTGAAGCCCCAACTTTTTCCAGGGTGCTACGAGAACGGTCGTTTTAAAACCCACACACCGCAAGAAACGAACCTTGGCAAACGCTAAAGATTGCATTGTGAAGCGATTTCACTAACTGCTGCAAATACTGTTACACATATGAAAATGCTTGTTAACATAAGGTAATAACAGGAATGCAGGTAAACATAAAGAAAGAACAGGCACCGGAGAAAAGGACAAAAACAGCAAGCATTGGACTATCTGCTGAAGTTTTAGCTTAATCGCAAACGGCGTATTACATAATTGCCTCATTCCTGTGTGGGCGAAAATCGCATTTAATACCAATCAATGTCCCATGTTTGAAAAAAAAATTTAGTCAAACAGTCCCGGCAAAACCTAACAGCTCGCACACGCATCAAATGCACAAGACAGCCGCCGGTTTTGCCAACAACTGAAGCCTGTTACTAGAACTGCTATTTGTAGTTGATTAAAAAAAAAACTGCAGTTATGATAAAAGGGTCACATACATTACTGCAAAAGGTCACCGCCATTTCTATGGCAATTAGTCACTCGCCATTTTCTGAATATGCAAATTACAACACATGTCGGGGATCACAGACAATAAGCATTACCCATATATCCACAGCTCAGTGTTGCGCCATGCACTAAACTCAGCAGCTGGCCAACGGAACCGAATTTCGCCTTTACCTCGTTTGTTGTCCGATCATGTTTCCCGCTTAGGGCTGAACCCCCGACCTTCCAGTGGATTACTGGAGACAATAGGGTCTACCATGTGAAGGTGAGGGGCGGTATGGGCAAGAAAGGTGAAGGGACATTGAGAGGCTTGTAATGCACATCACTGTTCTATTAGCAAGCATTATTACGCAGAATACACATATCTTAGCTTGGAGCACTATAATTCACAGAGATGGATCTAAATGCATGTATACAGACATAAATATTGAAGCTTGGGAATAATAAATTAGGAATAAATTAACATAAAAAAGTTACATTTAGTAAATATAATAAATAAATAATAATTTGCCGTTTTTCTAAAACAGCGCCACTTGTTTAAAAAAAAATGAAAAGTATCAATTTTGATAAAAGCAATCATTTACATTTTTAATTACTCTATTAATCAGGCACATGGAGATCCATCCTAAAACTTCTGTATTCTTTTATGAAAATAAATGACGGGATACCATTCCATAAAATTTCGCAGACGGGCACATACATTCTTGCGAGGTGCGTTTTTTGCTAACATCAGAACAAGTATATGAGATTACGGAAGTGGTAAGACGGCTCAAAGTTTACAAAACAAAGCTCATTATATTTGTGTCAGTACTTTTGTTGTGCCCTGAAGAGGTAACACAGGTCAACAGAACGAGAACTTTTCCTTGCTTACAGAAAGTGCCATTTGTAGATTTCATAAACAGAACTACTCAGTGCTTACAGAAAGTGCCACTTGTAAATTTTATAACCATAAATATTCAGTGCTTATAGAAAGTCCTACTTGTAAATTTTATGAACAGAACTATTCATTGCTTACAAATAGTGCCACTTGTAAATTTTATGAAGTTAACTATTCAGTGCTTACAGAAAGTGCCACTTGTAAACGTTATGAACAAAACTATTCCGTGCTTACAGAAAGTGTCACTTGTAAATTGTATAACCGGAACTATTCAGTGCTTACTGAAAGAGCGACTTCTAAAAACTAGTAATTATGCTAGAGTTATCTTGAAGCCCCAGCCTTCTACATGCGATAAAAATAAAGACATTATTCCGGGCATGTTTTAAATACATCGAAACCTTTATTCAATTGCGTCTTATAAAAATTAATGCAGCAGAAATTACTAACTAGGAAACAAACTCAAAAATAAATAATGAACACTAATAACTAAATGTTAAGTACATCCATGCAACAAACAAACAAACATAACAGTGGGATAATAACGCTAAAAGCAAAAAGCCAGACAGATGTGTCAATATCCCACCTGTTCTGACGCATGGGTGTTGTCCTTATTGCTTTGAGTTCCTCCATCTTGAAATGCCGCAGGAGGTGAAGGAGGGTGAGTGTTTGCAGATGCCAAAGACCTCGACAGCTGGCTCTGGGTATTGTTTAGCTGAGATTCCAGCTCGTAAAGCTCGCCTAGAATAGCATCAAAGTTCACGTCCTGGTCTGTTCACGGGAGAAACAAAAGATAGGCTCAGTCAGTCTGTGACGGTTAACAGTTAGTTGTTTAGCCTTGCAGGACGTTGCACAGCCAAACCCCAGCATTTTTTTTTTTTTTTTGGTTTGTGATTTCACCCAGTAAATTTACGTTCCTTTGTTTACAACTGCCTCTGTCCGGTCGGCTTGCCATACCAGTGTCAGACCTGCTTCATGCGATCTGATGCCAAATTGCCAGTAGCTGGGATCGAACCCAGCATCTCTGAATTACCAAGCGCGTTCGCAACGCATAAGCCATGGGACCGCACATTTTAGTAATATTCGAAAAGGCAATCAGACACATACCTAAATGTAGTGATATAGGTAGGTAGGTAAATATAAGTATGTAATAGGTAGTAAGTACACTAGCTGGGTGTGTGTATGTGTGTGTGTGTAGGTGGGTATGTTGATATTTATGTTGAAATAGGTGGGTGCATGTCCTGCCAAAATTAAAAACACCCTATTTATCAAGAACGGAACCTCGGCATTCTTCTGCATGAAAGTGAAACTTAGTCAACTTACATGTACCAGTAAAAACGACTAATTAACTTTCACTTGCGATGTCTTCGAAGAATACATGGCATTAATTATCAAGACAATATTATAATCAGTGTGATACTGAGAACAGCACGTCTCACTTGTTCAGTCTGTGAAGGCTCGAATAGCTAGGACATGCATGGAAGACAGGAAGGAGGATGGTAGAGTCCCCAAAAGATATCCTCTGTGGTTAGGTACAGGTGCAGATGGGCTGGCCTCTGTTACGATTTAAAGATGTGTGCCAGCGGACGATTCAAAGATGTCATGGATGTACCACTGAAGCGGGACATGATTTAAAGATGACCACAACATGGTGACATTGCTGTGAATTTGCCTGGACTGGGTGTCATGGATCGTACTGCACTGAAGCGGGAAATTAGAATGTGAATATGGAGAAAGCAGAAAATGAGTGCAGAAAGGAGTGTTAGCAGTTACATCAACGAATCCCCATCTACATTAGCCGTCACATCAAGGCATCCCCACCTACATTAGCAGTCACATCAACGTATCCCTATCTACATTAGTAGTCACATAAACGAATCCCTATCTACAATAGCAGTCACGTCAACGAATCCTCATCTACAGATCAAAGCATTCTCATCTATATTAGCAGTCACATCAACGCATCCCCATTTACATTAGCAGTCACATCAACGCATCCCCATCTACACCAGCAGTCACATCAACGCATCCCCATCTACACCAACAGTCACATCAACGCATCCCCATCTACATTAGCAGTCACATCAACGCATCTCCATCTACATTAGCAGTCACATCAACGCATCCCCGTCTACATTAGCAGTCACATCAACGCATCCCCATCTACACCAGCAGTCACATCAACGCATCTCCAACTACATTAGCAGTCACATCAATGCATCTCTTACTACATTAGCAGTCACACCAACGCATCCCCATCTACATTAGCAATCACATCAACGCATCCCCATCTACACCAGCAGTCACATCAACGCATTCCTATCTACATTAGCAGTCACATCAACGCATCCCCATCTACAGTATCACTCACATTAACGCATCTCTTTCTACATTAGCAGTCACATCAACGCATCCCCATCTACATTAGCAGTCACATCAACGCATCCCCATCTACATTAGCAGTCACATCAACGCATCCCCATCTACAGTAGCAGTCACATCAACGCATCTCCGTCTACATTAGCAGTCAAATTAGAGAATCACTATATACATTAGCAGTCAGATCAACGAATCCCTATCTACAATAGCAGTCAGATCAAAGCATTCCCATATACCCTAGCAGTCACATGAACGAATACCCATTTACACTGGCAGTCACCTCAGTGCATCCCCATCTACATTAGCAGTGCAATCACCTCAGCACGTTCTCGTTTACAGTATCAGTTACCTCGATACATCCCTTTCCACACCAGCAGTCACTTCGATACATCCTCAGTTACTACAGCAGTCACTTTAGTACATTCTCGTCTTAACTGACATTGAACCCCTTTCCCCTCCCTCCCAAACCAATCTACATTAAGTACCAACTCAGTACTTTCTTACAGCAATGATACCCCCAGTCAGGCAATTCTCCAATTTCCCTGTTAGTACTTCAGTCTCAGCGAAACCCGGACTAGACAGACCTTGGTGCCAGCGTAAACTCACTCTCCAGGGCCTGATTTGCCCGGAAGCCAGTCGACAAGTGTTCTCTCGTCTCTATTCAGCAACGAGTATTCTACTCTAGTTACACAGCCGTTGGTGATTCATTTGCCCCCCCCCCCCTTCTCTCTCTCTCTCTCTCTCTCTCTCTCTCTCTTATCTTATCTTGTCGCTCTTAGTTTATTTTCTGTACTAGAGTGCTTATTTAACGGCGTATCTTTGGATCTTTTGACCTCGGTCCATACCCGCACAAGTCTGCAGTCTTCACTGGGCTGGTGAAGCCGTTTTTATGGGCACCCTAAATATAACAGGCTGAACGGGATTTGGGATCTGCTCTGTTGGCCTGCCATCCTGACTGGGATTTTTAAAAAACCTCACAGTGGTAAACCTTCAACAAGCAGCCTGGAGTGGACACACCGATTGATCGATTACTTGATCTTAACAAGTCTATGCCTACTTCCACTAATTTTATGTATGAGTTTTGAATGAATCTGTTGTATCTATGCGTATCTTAAATATTGGTTTTAATGTGTATATACGCGTTTATGTGTCGTGTGTGTGTGTGTGTGTTTATGTGTCTTGTGTGTGGGTGTATGACTATGTAGGCGCATGTACATGTGTATGCATAAATATGTGTGTATCTGGTAGACAGATGTGTGGACGGATAGACAGAAACTAGGAGTTATTTCTACACACACTCATTTATATTATGCAAATAAGTATATTAATACAAAAAGAGCAACCAAGAGGTGTTGAAAGAGGCGGGAGCCCGAAGACAACTTATCACAAACATCAGAAAGAGACATGCATCGTTTTTTGGCCACGTTTTGAGAAGAGGGAAAATGAAACATGCTGTGACCACTGGAAAGATTTGTGTAAGGAGGGACAGAGGAACATATCGAGAGAAGATTCTTGACAGTCTTGCTGCATGGCATGGAGGTGTGTCAGCACACGAACTGATACATGCAGCAGGAGATTGCATATTGTGGAGAGGCATGATCGCCCTCGCCAGTCGGCAAGGCACCTGATGATGATATTTATATATATAATGTATGCTCAAGGGTGCAAATGCACGTAAAATGTCATCTAGTTCTTTATTTTACAATTTAATTTCCAAAGATAAACATAGGCAATCTCATCCTTCTTAATAATTTAATAATTTACTTTTCCCCCACGTTGTTTGATATATATCATTCTGAAACCCGTTTTTCTTTTTCCCGTCTCGTTTGATATATATCATTCTTAAAACATTTTCGCCATCGATCGTTTTAATTTGTAAGATCAAAGTAAATATATGGCAAGGTCAGGGCACATTAATATGGCCACATGACAAGCCAGGGAGAAGTGGTGAAGGCTGGTTTATATTATAACGATCCATTTTACCTTTCTACCCCACTAAGCTGATACCAGATTGGATGATCATTATAGGTCACAGAAACATTATTTTTATGGCCTGATTGCTTGCAAGTGGTTTATAACTGGTAAAATAGTGTGAGAAATGTACGATTCATGTTAGTTTCCGGGCATGTATTCACTGCTTAGGCGATAATTATACAGGCATGTTGCTACGCCTGCGCGATCTTTACTGCACCAGTGAATGTTGTGGTGCTAGTGGTTAACGACGATAAATACACAGCAATAAACCGACGAACCCTTGATACCATGAAATAGTACGATAAACACACTGTAATGTATTGATGGGCATTTGTAGATGTAGAATAGCCTTCTGTTGCTGTATTTTTTAATATCTTAGTCTTCGTCGAAAATTCCACTTCACTATAACCGGGTCATCCTGAGCCAGTGAAAATAAAATGAAATATCCTTCCCTTTCCTATTTGAAAAACTGGGAAACAAACAATTAGTTCCGTCACAATCCAGAAGTATGCATCAGCAGTAAATGCTGGAAGCGCCAAAGCCAACTGTCGAAACCGGAAAAACAGTTCGTCGTTGATAGAAACAGTCAGGCAAGATAGGTTGGTTATACACACGCGAATTTATTTCATAAGATATTTCGCCAGCCCATACGCATTCCGACTACCAGCCACACTGAATACTATGACTCAACCACTTCGCACATGGCAGTCACTTCATGTGAAAAAACACAGCTCACAGTGCTACAACAAACAGTTAACTCAGAAGCGTAGGGCGAACCCGTTAATTTCCGTCAATACGCGGAAACTGCATTAGCAAAGCTCTGTGAAAAGCAAAAATCATTTTGAAGCTAAACATACTCAGTCCTTAATATTGAGCTGGAATTCTCTTCCATATCTATAAGTGCCAATAAGCTTAAAATGTATTTATCACACTAATTCTTCCATGTGCGTGTCTGGTATGAAACAGTACAGCGTGGGGAGAATTTAGGAGGTGGAAAATGTAATGCCAGTTTTGACAGGAAACGCGGGTATAACATTTAATTATCACATATGCATGACACACATTTGTGCAGATAGGAAGTCCGGGGTCTAACGGCTAAGCGGAATCACGAATCAAGAGCTAGGTCGGTCACTTTCCCGATTCGGGAAGTTCGATAGTGACCATGTCCTATGCAGAGAGTCACACAACATGTTACGATCAATTACAGTTGGCAAAAGACAAAGATGACAGAGCAGTTCAAATTTACTATAAGCTTGAAGTAGAAATGGAAAGACACTGGTTTTGGTCTCAGCGGTTGCTTAACTATTTGTCCTGAAAAGATATCAAACTAAACAAAAAGCAGAACCAGTCAGCTTCACAATATCTCCAACATAAACGACAAGTGAATACTGCGGCTAGAGAGCCTTACATCATCACAT